CGTTTAATAACAAGACAAAGTAGAGTGATAAGAGAGTCAGAGAGGTAACTTTGCAAGCCCAACATACGTGTTATTTATTATACATATTATATTATATACATGCACCGTATGTCAACGGGAAGATTTTATGTACATGGAAGCATCAACGCATATAAAAGTGTAATTCAATGATTTACAAAATAACACATTCTCTCAAAGTAAAGACAGTTTGCCTTGAAGAACTGGCTATTCATGTTTCTGAACATTCATCAGTTCTACTCAGCAGAATGAATATTTCTGAAACAACAGTGTCATTCACAGTATTGTCGTAAACAGCAGTAAACATCAACGACTTCGACTGCCCTATAGAAACGTTGTTGACAGTTCTGATGTTGATACAGTCTCCAGAAATTCTGAGGACTACATCTGATTCCGTTCTGCATAGTGATTTCGTGTATAAGTAGGGTTAGCAGTCATTTTCTCTTAGGTCGCTTTTTGGTAAGGGGACATTGTAACCGAAAGCATATTTTTATTGAGTTTAAATTGAGAATTTCAGGGAATGGCTGAAGTGCAAGGTCAAGTCAAGGTCAAAACAAAAATCAAACAAAACAAACCTGGAACATTTATGTCAGACTACCAGACTACTGGACAAGTGTCAAATACACATACGTGATGAATGGAAATTGCTAAGTACTGGCCACTTATAGTTCGTTCTAATTTTTTTTCTTCTTCTTCTATCTTCTATCTTCCTCCCCGTTATTTTAAACAAATAATGTTATTTCATTTTACTTTCGGTTTTGGTATAGATTGTTAACGACAAGCAGATGCGAACATCAACGAACCAAATATCATCATGGGTTGGAGTGGGTGAGTGTAATTTACGCCGCTATGAGCAATATTACAGCAATATCACGGCGGGGCACACCAGAAACGGGCTATACATATTCTACCTATGTGGGGAATTGAACGTGATCCCTTCGGCGTGACGAGCGAACACTTTAGCCGTTGGGGTACCCCTCATGTGTTGAAACAAGCTTCAGTAATAGCTATTCCGGCATTTAAAGATAAAAAGATGCTCACACCACACGCAAGCGACTCACTGGCCAAAGCGTTCAGACGGCCAGGAAGTAGGAGGACGAAAAAATACTGTCCTACAAACCCAATAAAGTATGGAAATAAATACGCATATATCAACCAGAAACTGTCAGCAACACAAACACATTGACGTAAGGTTATTTTCGTTAATAATATCATAGCTATGACATTAAAAAAAATATCCCTTCATGCATATTCATACAGTATCTCCTCCTCCATTTCCCCATAAAATCATATAGTCGTTCCCTAAGCTTCCTGGAGTTGCAGTTAGGTAAGCTAAAAAAAAATAATATGCCCCATCTGGTAATGCAATTTATCATTTACAAAGAGTGAGTGAGTGAGTGAGTGAGTTTAGTTTTACGCCGCTTTTAGCAATATTCCAGCAATATCACGGCGGGGGACACCAGAAAATTTACAAAGAAGAGATACCCGAAAATACCAAACAAGTTAATGAAGTTCCCGTAACTAAGGAACGGTTTGACTGTGTATCGTCTACAGACTTTTAACATATTAACCTTAATTAAACTGCCAACAATGTATGAATCTCTCAACCAGTTAAAATAACAAACGATTAACAAGAAAGATCTCAATTATAATACCCTATGCTACTTGTGGATACAACGTAGTATCCAGTGTATTTTTTACACTATTGATATTTTGTCACCCGAATGAGTTAATTAGGCATCAACACCCACCACCCGACTTCCCCCTTCCTGCAAGAGAACAATAGTGCTTACCTTTAGAAATCAGATCTTATACCGAACATGAAAAGAATGTTATTGACGACGGGCTAACAACCCTACATAATTGACTTCAGATACTGTGGGGAATAGAGATAATTTGTTTAATGATCAAATTGTGCTAGTTGATAACACGATTTGTCATCGTTCTGCTTGTAGAAAATATTGATAATATTTTATGTTTATTGATTTTCACTTATTCATAACCCGTTTGAACGAATTATTTATTTATTTTCAATGTGGGAGACGCAGTCAATACACTGAAAGGTTACGAACAGAGAAGCAATTTTTTGTGCATGGGGAAAAAAAAAATTAAAATAGTTTTAGTAAGTTTCATAACGAGTCCCTAGTTATTGACAAGTTAAAAAATACAGGCACAAGCAAACGCAATGCACTAATGCATGACTGCCTTCAAGTGCATGAAACCGAACCCAAAAAGCATCTAAGGGTTAAAGTCTTCGAAAGGCATTTCGAAGTGATACACATAAAAGTGAGAAATTATGGATGTCACATTCTTTATTATGAGGAACATGATACTTCGGAGAATAGTCTTACTTCTTCATCAGGTGAATAAAGAACATGATGAAGAAGTGAGAATTAACTCCGAAACATCGGGTTCCTCATAATAAAGAAGGTGACATCTATTAGTTCTCTGTGACTTAAAATCTTAACTCACTCACTATAAATTCTCACCTTTTATCTGAGTGTTAATAGTTATAGTCCAGGAGGAGGCAGCTGAAAAATTTCAAATCGTAGCCTCCCCAGTACTGATTTTGTTTGACACTATTTTCAGTTAGTATGATGTCTTGGGCTCATGAAAAGGCCTGTAATACTCTCAGATTGTGGTATCAGGTTTTTTTTTACAGGCAATTATATGTGGTGGGGGTCTGCGAGCATTTTCGTCACATTTGGTTTGCTGCCCGACAACACCTCAAAGTTAATCATTAATAGTTTTACTACTATCAATCTGATCACTTTCATTTTGACTTCTGTGTACTGCTAAAGGATGTAGAAATTATTTGACATAATTTTGTTTTGAAAAAAATATCAAAATGGCTGCCATTATGGCCGCCATTGTGTTTTGTCGTCTTTTGCCTTCTCAGCACTTAAATCTACATAAAAATGAATACCGAATGTTTCCATTTACATCCAAAGTTGATACTTTTGATGTGTTTTGACACTTGTTTCTCCTAGAGTGATGGCTTGGGCACAAAACAAGTCATTTTGTATGGTCATAACATGGTAATTTAATGTTTTACAGTTTATTCTTTGAGACGGGTATTTTGGCAATTCTCATGGAAATGTGTGAGAGTGATTTATTTAATGGCAGTTAACATTATTTTTGTTACTAAAACAAGTTGTTTTTGTTTTCTCTTTACTTATAGAGTGACGGCATGTTATTAGGAATGTTTACATATTACCAAGAATTCAAAATGGCCGCCAAAATGGCCGCCATTGTAGTTTAACTACATATACTTAGTGGAGGACTAAATTTGTACTGAATTTGCCTTGATGATCATGAGTCCTTCTACAATTTCTTGAGAATCACCCCACCCATGTTTGATGAACTTCTTGAACGCATTGGCCCCTTTATAAATTAGATGTTCACCCTTCTTCTTCCTTGGAGGCATGGTGATGTCAATGTTTCCACCTTGAAACTGAGAACGGAGTGAGTGAGTGAGTTTAATTTTACGCACTCTGTAATATTCGAGCTATATGGCGGCAGTCTGTAAATAATCGAGTCTGGACCAGACAATCCAGGGATCAACAGCATGAACATCAATCTGTGCAATTGGGATACGATGACACGTGTCAACCCAGTCAGCGAGCCTGACAACGTTACCAGATCCTGTTAGTTGCCTCTTACGACAAGCATGGGTTATTGAAGATCAATTCTAACCGGGATCGCTACAGGTCCGATTGTGACATGATGTAACATATGAAATGAAAGAAATTGAAAAGGAGGGTTATATGCAAGCTTATGGATGTATCAAAAGTGATTAAGAGTTATCTGATAGAACAACTTGAATGCCTACAACCAAAGCTTATACGTAGTTATCTGCCATGAAGCATGGTTTTCAAACCCTTTGGGATAATGTTATGTCATCAAATATTTTAGGAGTGTGAAGCTTTGATTGACCCTATCATTGAAATTTAGCTCTATTCCTATACTGTATTAAACATTAGACACCAAATGATTTGTTTGGATTTCATATCAGTACAAATTTAGTCCTCCACTAAGTATATGTAGTTAAACTACAATGGCGGCCATTTTGGCGGCCATTTTGAATTCTTGGTAAACATTCCTAATAATATGCCGTCACTCTATAAGTAAAGAGAAAACAAAAACAACTTGTTTTAGTAACAAAAATATAATGTTAACTGCCATTAAATAAATCACTCTCACACATTTCCATTAAAAGTCGGAGAATCGCTAAAATACCCCTGTCTCAAAGAATAAGCTGTAAAACATTAAATTACCACGACATGACCAACCAAATGACTTGTTTTGTGCCCAAGCCATCACTCTAGGAGAAATAAGCGTCAAAACACATCAAAAGTATCAACTTTGGATGCAAATGGAAACATTCGGTATTCATTTTTATGTAGATTTAAGTGCTGAGAAGGCAAAAGACGACAAAACAAAACGGCGGCCATAATGGCAGCCATTTTGATATTTTTTTCAAAACAAAATTATGTCAAATAATTTCTACATCCTTTAGCAGTACACAGAAGTCAAAATGAAAGTGATCAGATTGATAGTAGTAAAACTATTAATGATTAACTTTGAGGTGTTGTCGGGCAGCAAACCAAATGTGACGAAAATGCTCGCAGACCCCCACCACATATAATGGCCTGTAACAAAAAACTGATACCACAATCTGAGAGTATTACAGGCCTTTTCATGAGCCCAAGACATCATACTAACTGAAAATAGTGTCAAACAAAATCAGTACTGGGGAGGCTACGAAATCCTATTTCTAGGCCCCTTTTGAGATTCTCCTCCTGGACTATTAGAAAATACTGTAAACGTACTTATTTTCGCGCGAAATATAATACGTTTACAGTACATCTACAATAGTAAGAAAGAATACGTAATCATGAGTTAAAGCTTTGGGTAAACGGTGGAGAGATATGAAGGCTCAGTGATATGACCGTTCAAGAACATATAGTGATCCCTGATACTATGTATAAAATCAGCAAAAATGGACATCATGAGGTCGTCTTACCTGTTCATGTGAACCTGGTCTTGTTGAGAGGCAGAACGTGAAGACTCAAGGACAGTGCGCTAGACCACATATAGCTAGTTCAATGAAGTAAATCGATGAACCATTTCCTTTGTCTCTATCACTCCAATATTCATACCAGGTGAGGTAAATCCTTGAATACTACAAGTTCATTGATCCCCTCACTATTTTACATAACTGCTTACATACGTTTTTCCTAATTGGTCATTAATACCGTGTCTCAGTGGATGTTATCAATTATATCAAACTGGTTTCAAATGCTATAGCAGCAAATCTAACGCTCCAAGACCCTTTTGCATTCCACACACTAATCACATGGACGTTTTCAGAATAACCGGCTTGTTTAGATTAGCTATTGCTACCAAGAGGACTGTGTAAATACATGTTTGGAATCATGAATAATTAGACAAAAATTGTATTCAATTCAAGTAAGCATGTTCCTCACTCACCAGTCTATACAATTTCAAGGACATTTGCATAAGCGATCTATGTTCAGTACTTGAACATGTCGATTGTGAGTTTAAGCGCTCGCATCAGATTTCAGAATAGAACAGTGATGTGAAGCAACTGCATGGTCACAGCCAAACTTTGGGATCTAGTTAATGATCTTAATGAAAAGTAAATCATACATTGTACATTCATTGTGCGGAGACAAAGATCAGAATGACATGGCATCTGTCAATTTATCTGTATACCCGTATATCTTATATGTTCTGTTCTTGTTCGATTGGTATTCAGAATATGATGGGAATGTTTTCCATCTACTTTGCCCTTCAGACACACAATATAGCTGACTTACGATAACTTCGTAATGATTCATAAAATAAATGTCAGCGTACCTGGACGCAAAATACATTGGGAAGATATATCTGTACGATGGGACAAGGGTAAACTTTTAAAGCACATGCATTAGTATCAAACATCCGCTTCTTCTGTCAGTGTCTGTATTAGCAGATGTCTTATTCACTGTTGTGTGCTTTTTCTGTCCAGTTTAACAACCGTTAATGTTTTGATAATCTTCCCAGTGATTTCGGCTTCTTTGGCAGCTTGTTTGATAGACTTCTTAGGTTTTTTATACTTTTCAACTTCTAAGTCAGATGAACCAGTAGTGAGTGATGAGCTAAAATCTTCATCCTCAATTGGATCGGATGAGATAACATCCAACTTGGAGCTCTTCACAGAGTCAGACGAATCAGCAGAATGTACTGAAACTGAATTATCATCATACTCTTCTGGATCTGATGAGACTGATGTGTCCATGTCGTTTGGCTTATCTACAGATTCAGATGAACCAGCAGTTAGTGGTGAGACTAAATCTTCATCCTCAATTGGATCTGATGAGATAACATCCAACTTGGAGCTCTTCACAGTGTCAGACGAATCAGCAGCAATTAGTTCATCTGAATTATCATCATACTCTTCTGGATCTGATGAGACTGATGTGTCCATGTCGTTTGGCTTATCTACAGATTCAGATGAACCAGCAGTTAGTGGTGAGACTAAATCTTCATCCTCAATTGGATCTGATGAGATAACATCCAACTTGGAGCTCTTCACAGTGTCAGACGAATCAGCAGCAATTAGTTCATCTGAATTATCATCATACTCTTCTGGATCTGATGAGACTGATGTGTCCATGTCGTTTGGCTTATCTACAGATTCAGATGAACCAGCAGTTAGTGGTGAGACTAAATCTTCATCCTCAATTGGATCTGATGAGATAACATCCAACTTGGAGCTCTTCACAGTGTCAGACGAATCAGCAGCAATTAGTTCATCTGAATTATCATCATACTCTTCTGGATCTGATGAGACTGATGTGTCCATGTCGTTTGGCTTATCTACAGATTCAGATGAACCAGCAGTTAGTGGTGAGACTAAACCTTTATCCTCAATTGGATCAGATGAGATAACATCCAACTTGGAGCTCTTCACAGTGTCAGACGAATCAGCAGCATTTAGTGCATCTCTATCATCATCTTCTATTGGATCTGATGAGAAAGATCTTGATCTCTCAACTTTATGTGTAGGCTGAAAACATAAACATGGAATGTTTAAATGACAGAGCCTAAACTACGACAATTCAGACAGTGGTGAATGAAAAATCATTTTGCTAAATGATTAATGCAGTTATTTAAATGATAGTACTATAATGATATATACGAGTCAAAAGACATTTCAAAATGTATAATAATAAGTTGTAAGTGAAAGAAAGGCGAAAACAGAATTCAGTTCAAACTGGTTGAATTCTGAACTATCACGTCATGGCACTGTGTGTAGTGACTGTAAGACAGAATATCTGAATCGGAGTGACACTTACCATGTATATTTTAAAACCATCACTATGCACAAAAACATAATTATCAGATGGACTAGACATCCTAGCTATAGATGCAGTTGATAAAATAACCTGTGCAAATAAGACTAGATATTTATGATCATGAAGTGAAGAAATTCACCTATTACTTTTTATAACAACAACTTATGGCAAAAGAAATGGCAAATTTTTACTCATTCTTATGAAACCTTGGCAGGATTACAGAATACCGGATACCTATCCGCCATTTCTATTTTGATTGCGCATTTATTTTTGCGCACTTCCGTTTTGTTTCCTTAGCAACGGCACGCCATAAATGAAGGCTGTGTTGAAGCAGCGTTCAATATTAAATATTAAATATTAAACAATATTAAAGCTAAAAAAGGTAATATAATGGGGTAAAGGGGGTACCCCCCTTTATTTAAAAGCCTTACCTACCTTACCTTACCAATCAAAAAACACTTACCATCAGAGTGTTCCCACACTGTAGAGTTCCTTTCCCAGCATGCATTTGAATAAAATTTGAACACACGATTACTTTTTACTCTGTTTACGTCAGTGAATGCTGTTAAAATCCCCAGTTTAGGTTTCCTAAACCGGAAGTAAGGTGAGGAATTCGATTTTAACCTTATTTTTTACCTTAAATTCGTATTTTTATTGGATCGCTCGCACTCTCTGTTTCTTCTATATATAGGAGCCTCACGCACACAACAGAATGTATATAATTAGGTATCCGGTATTCTGTAAGTGTACCGAAACCTTAACTATTGGACAGTTCAGTAAAATAAAGAACCAGAGTAAATTTACTGGCACTCACCTGTGCAGATTGGGTATCGCCTGTATATAAATACAGTTCTGATGCTCACCCCTGCAGATTGGTTATCCTCCCTACAACCTTGCACTCAAGACGCTCACCTGTGCAGACATACTTGATATCCTTTCCATATACATGCAGTAGCAACGCTCACCTGTGCACACAGACTCAATCTCCTTTCCATATACATGCAGTGAAGACACACACCGTCCTCAATATCCTTTCCTGTATGGAGTGTAGATACTCACCTGTGCAGACATGCTGCATATCCTCTCTAAATTCATGCAGTGGTACCCTCACCATATACATGCAGTAGAGACATTCACCGGGACTGAGATGCTTGGTACCCTCACTATATGCATGCAGTAGAGACACACACCTGTGCGGAGATGCTCTGTACCCTCACTATAAGCATGCAAAAGAGACACTCACCTGGGCGGAGATGCTTGGTACCTCACTATATGCATGCACTAGAGACTCTCACCTGTACGGAGATGCTCTGTACCCTCACTATATGCATGCAATAGAGACACTCACCTGTGCAAAGATGCTTGGTACCTCACTATATGCATGCAATAAAGACACTCACCTGTGCAAAGATGCTCGGTTCCCTCACTATATGCATGCAGTAGAGACACTCACCTGTGCAAAGATGCTTGGTACCTCACTATATGCATGTAAAAGAGACACTCACTTGTGCTCAGATGCTCGGTTCCCTCACTATATGCATGCAGTAGAGACTATCACCTGTGCGGAGATGCTTGGTACCCTCACTATATGCATGTAATAGAGACACTCACCTGTGCTCAGATGCTCGGTTCCCTCACTATATGCATGCAGTAGAGACTCTCACCTGTACAGAGATGCTCGGTACCCTCACTATATGCATGCAATAGAGACACTCACCTGTGCAGAGATGCTTGGTACCTCACTATATGCATGCAGCAGAAACACTCACCTGTACGGAGATGCTTGGTACCCTCACTATATGCATGCAGTAGAGACACTCACCTGTGCAGAGATGCTTGGTACCTCACTATATGCATACAGTAGAAACACTCATCTGTGCAGGGATGCTCAGTACCCTTACTATATGCATGCAGTAGAAACACTCACCTGTGCAGAGATGCTTGGTACCCTCACTATATGCATGCAGTAGAAACACTCACCTGTGCAGAGATGCTTGGTACCCTCACTATATGCATGTAAAAGAGACACTCACTTGTGCTCAGATGCTTGGTTCCCTCACTATATGCATGCAGTAGACACTCTCACCTGTACAGAGATGCTCGGTACCCTCACTATATGCATGCAATAGAGACACTCACCTGTGCAGAGATGCTTGGTACCTCACTATATGCATGCAGCAGAAACACTCACATGTACGAAGATGCTTGGTACCCTCACTATATGCATGCAGTAGAGACGCTCACCTGTGCAGAGATGCTTGGTACCTCACTATATGCATGCAGCAGAAACACTTACCTGTACGGAGATGCTTGGTACCCTCACTATATGCATGCAGTAGAGACACTCACCTGTGCAGAGATGCTTGGTACCTCACTATATGCATACAGTAGAAACACTCATCTGTGCAGGGATGCTCGGTACCCTCACTATATGCATGCAGTAGAAACACTCACCTGTGCGGAGATGCTCGGTACCCTCACTATATGCATGCAGCAGAAACACATGTGCGGAGATGCTTGGTACCCTCACTATATGCATGCAGCAGAGACACTCACCTGTGCAGAGATGCTTAGTACCCTCTTTATATGCATGCAGTAGAAACACTCACCTGTGTGGAGATGCTCAGTACCCTCACTATATGCATGCAGTAGAAACACTCACCTGTGTGGAGATGCTCATTTTACTGGTACCTCACTATATGCTTCCCTCACTATATGCATGCAGTAGAAACACTCACCAGGGCGGAGATGCTTGGTACCCTCACTTTATGCATGCAAAAGAGACACTCATCTGTGCAGAGATGCTCGGTACCCTCACCATATGCATGCATTAGAGACACTCACCTGTGCGGATATTCTTGGTTCCTTCACTGTATGCATGCAGTAGAGACACTCACCTGTGCAGAGATGCTCGGTACCCTCACTATATGCATGCAGTAGAGACACTCACCTGTGCAGAGATACTTCGTACCCTCACTATATACTAGGGCTGGGACGATTCACCGATGCATCCATGCATCACGATACATTTAAGTTTGATACAGCTATCGTATCGTGGACTGTTGTATCGATACACAACTTTTTTTCAAAACAGTATTATCTTAAACATACCGTGTCATTCTTTCAAGGTGTATGTATTGTGATACGCATCGTATCACAGGTAAAATATCGCGATATGTATCGCATAGTGTATCGTCCCAGCCCTACTATATGTTTATACATACAGTAAATTTACAAGGCTGTGCACAATTCCCTAACTGTCCTATCCTATATATGTACATGTAAATGGAAACACTCACCCATGCAGACACAGGGATGCTATCCATGATGAAAAAACAAAGACCAAAACACAATAACAATGTTGATGATGGAGACATTCTTTTTCAATCTGGAAATAAACAGAATATATGTTAATTAAATAATATTTACGGCTGCTACTACTACTGCTGCTACCACTGTTACTACTAATGCTGTTGCTGATACTACTACTACTACTACTATTCCTAACTATAACTGTAAATGCAACTACAACTACTACTACTACTACAATTCCCAACTACAACTGTTAATGCAACTACTACTACTACTACTACTACTACTACTGCTGCTGCTATTACTACTGCTACTACTACTACTTAACTATTACTACTACTACAACTAATACTACTACTTGTTTGATTGGCATTTTAGAAGATGCTATTTGGTGAACATAGACAATTTTCGGGGTTTCATCTTCTTTTTATTGTTTGGTACCTCTCAGGGCTTGTTCTGGCCCCATTATAAGGTAGAACTAAAATTCTCTATGTTAATACTACTACTACTATTCCTAACTATAACTGTTAATGCAACTACTACTACTACTACTACTACTACTACTATTCCTAACTACAACTGTTAATGCAACTACTACTACTACTACTACTACTTCTATTCCTAACTACAACTGTTAATGCAACTACTACTACTACTACTGCTACTACTGCTACCGTTTCCTTTTCCATGGCGGTTATTAAGAGGGTTAGATTTAACTTTGAACGGTATTATTCAGATCAACACTTAATACTATTGCCTTAGTTCACATGAGCTCCAGTTCATATCAGTAACAGAAATTGACACATGTGCTACATCCTCCATTGACCAAATTAGTCTCTGTGATCAGTGTCCCGATTGTGTGGGGAAAAAGCTGCAATATAACTGTGTGCTGTGGCCACAAAAAAAACCAGACTGACAACACAATATATGAGGCAGAGAAGGTTTTTTTCTGTGTCCATTCTCTACATTTGTTGCATGACATAAAACCCTGGTTTCTGCCATACTGTATGTTCCAGTATATTTTTCAGGTCATAAGTGACTAGCCCTTGCATGTGTATATTCAAGAGCATCTAGTATAAACATGCTAATCATATGGTCAGTGATCAACAGTATGAGCATCGATCTACACAATGGGGACACAATGATGTGTGTCAACCAAGTCAGCGAGCCTGACCACCCGATCCCCTTTAGTTGGCTCTTACAACAAGCATGGGTTACTGAAGATCATTTCTAACCCAATCTTCATGGGTTTGTCATTTGTATCTTTATAATATCTGGAAGATTAGTCATACCACAGATGCAATGCTGCAGATGAAACATGTTTCTCATCTAAATACCAGTACTGGTAACATGCAAATAACTCTGTGGTAGACTAAAATTTATAAAGGTAAACCAGTCTGTATAGTGAAAAAATTACCTATTTTGTGTAGAAACAGTGGGTCAGTGAAGACTTCGGTAAGAAATGATTTTACAATGACCAGACATCTAACATGTTCAAAATATGAATTTTCAATGAAAAAAGGGGTTTATTGAATTTCAAATATATTCGGATGTCAAATATATCCATCCTCGATGGAGTTTTATGCAATTATTTTCCAAACTAGTAAAAATTTTAAACCAAATTAATGTTTAAGAAACACAACAATGTACAAGTACTGAATGCTGAATAAGTGCCAGTTCTGTTCATATTTGGATATAATGTTACTAATTTATAATGCTTTCAAATAAAAATCAAGCAGGCTATATATATATCAACGGAGAGGTGTAGTTTCTTTTACCCTTCAGCTTATATGGATTTCATCAGTAGAATCAGCAAAAAGTTAGTCTGCAGAAAAATCAATGTCCTGACTTTGGATGTGATTAGGGCAGCTAACCCAAGTTATGAGTTGAATGGGAGTGACTTCCCTTTGATCATGTATGTGGCACAGAGCTGCACATTTATAATGAGTATAGTTTTAAGACATTTTAGGGATATCCCAGCAGCATCTCAGTGTGAGAGACCAGTAGTGAGGATACTAATGCTTGTATAACGTTTGTTCAAGAATACTCCAGATTATGACTTATCTATTTGGTATCAGCAGTGTAAGACAAATTATTATGAAATTACTCAAAACTAATATTATGAATCTTGAAGTGTCAACATTGCTTGTTACATTATTATGATTATTATGAAGGTTATGACTGCTCATAAAGTTAAGTAGAGTTAAATATCTTGTCCAAACTAAAAATATGCAGATCTCTGATGTGATTTTTAGGCTTTTATATATCCTCATTATGTCTGTTATATGTTATCCTCAATGGTATTTCTAAAATTTTCTAATGATTTTCAAGAATGTACAATCAGAGGTATAAATCATGGAAATTAACCATCACCGATAATTACTGCAAAGGGAACCACACCAAGATAGAACCACTCGAAAGTTTGCACACATTACACTTTTTTATGGATTAGTGACTTCTAAATTCCTTTTAACAATGTTTCAGAGCCACTATAACTTCTTGCCCCATCATCATCTATTATTTGTCATAGACAAAAGTGTCATATAAGTAATTTTTGAATGAAAATTGATGCTTATTATGTACATATCACAGTGGGTGGATGCATTCATAAATGTTATTGCAAGATGAATATATCTTCTAAGGTAGAATTCAGTTATAATTATATCCCAGCTTGATCCATATTAAAATATTTAATAAAGTTTTCTTTTGTTTCTTTTGGACGTTGATCACTGTTGTGTCTGATTTCTCAAAATGAAGCATGTCAATGGATGTGCACCAAAATAACACATTATCATCATCATCAAAATATTAATATATCTCACTCTGTTCACAAAAAAATGTTTTAATGAACTAAATAATGACCCTCCCCTAATGCGTATCATATGTTTGATAACCACACCCATGCGGTGTGTTTGGAACGATCCTCCCCAAAAGCACTTGATGTTTACTTATAAAAAGTGCATTTAAACATGATCCTAAAAAAAGTGCATTACTTGTTTATAGAGCCTGTCATATCTTCTGGTGACTCCCCGACATACACCCCACACAATAGTAAATAATATATTTAATAGGTTAATAATTGAGTTCATTGACTGTTTATAAATGTGAAATCCTGTGTATTTGACAGTGAAAGGATGGTGCACGGTAATGTATTGCGGTAATGCATCGTGTGCCACCACCAAGCTAGTGATGGACAATCGCTTTGTGAAATACTGCCCTTGGTGTTCGATTTCATGTGGAAGGAAAAACCAGAAAACATACTCTCCGTCTCCGACTTGCTTACTACCAAAAATTGGGAAAAAACGTAGGAACTGGTTGTCTACCTTTACCAGGCTGACAACATTACTGAACCACCTAAAGCTACAGGTAATTAGCGATTGAATGCACGCAAAAGAATATGGTTAAAATTTCATTGAAATGAAAAGAGGTTCTGGCCAGACGCCGATACCGACGTGACAGGAGTGGTGAAACTATTGCTTTCTTGACAGGTATGATGTTTTCATACAAATTTAATGTTTTACGTCACCACTGTAGCTTGGACACAAAATACGAGGTATTTATCCGGATTAACATACCTTTGTTATTGGAATAGCAATGTTCAGAGTTTGACATGAATCTGATCACCGACGCCTTCGAGAACAACTGGAATACACATAAATCTGTGACGTAAGAGACACATTGTGTGACGTCATTGCTTTTGTGATGAGGCAGGAGAGGAATGGGTCGATCTTTCAAGTATACGAATTTTCGGGGTTTTGTTTGTTTAACGTCTGACTCAGCAACTTTCAAGCTGTATGGCGGCGGTCCGTAAATAATCGAGTATGGACTAGACAATAAAGTGATTGACATCGATCACGAACATCGATCTACGCATTTGGGATACGATGACATATGTGTCAACCAAGTGAGCACTTGATCCCATTATACACGCCTTTGAGGACAAGCATGGGTTGCTGAAGACCAGTTCTAACCCGGATCTTCATGGGATTGATGTCAACGAAATAATAATCATAATGTCAATAGATTAATGACAATCAGATGGGTAGAATATGTTTCCATTGACTACTATGAGGATTGGGTTGTAATAAATTTAAGATATGAGGGCCCGGTTGTTCAAAACTCGGTTATCTTTTAACCAGCCGTTAAGTACATTTAACTGACTGTTACCTAATAACAGAGGGTTATCTTGTTGTTCAAAACTCTGTTAACTTTTAACAGGCTGTTAACGTAACGTTAAGTTAACACACCTAAGGACCTCCGCTAACTTTTTAACAGTGTGGTTAACTCGCAAATGGCGTTCATGGCTAACGCTGCTTTCATGAGGCCAGTTCAGCAAAGAAAGGATAAGGTGTATCGTGGACTTGACTTCGATATTGGAAATTATTCTGACGAAGAGTTACATACGAAACTGTATCTAAGCACATCATAGGAACTAAAATACATGTTGTACAAGTACATGATGCCTACGTTTCATCTTTTAACACTTGTGTAAAGGTTTATATATGCTTTACTACACTAAATGTGTGAATTTCTTCAGTAAATATTATTCAAGCAAACACTTTCAAAGAATCAAACACGTACACCCTATACCCACGAATGACATGATATTGAACAAGACTAAATGTAGATAATTAAATTAGTTTCATGAAAAAACATCCGAATGATTACATTATGATACTGAAAGTGTAATCGGCGGGATATGGTGATTGTGTATACTCTTATTCTACCGACCTTCACCTGAGAGAAATTGCCAAATATGTACAACAATGTTGACGTATGACATCACTACCGTTGATATTTCTTAAAAAATGGCGGCTGACATGGGTTTTGCGAGGACCCTTCCCTTGATTCAGGCATCGTTTGTACATAAATATGAGATGTAAGTAATCAGAATGATTCTGACTATCTGTGTATTGTTACATGTTTTTATCGTTTTCATTTTAAGAAAGAGAAGAAGCGGCAAGAAATGCCGATTATTACCGTTGTCGTTCTGCGTGATTTTGCGTCAGTCATGACGTCACGCTGCACAGAAACTTAATTGACAGTTTCGTATAAACATATCACATTCCTGTATTGTATCTATTTTTAATTTCCTATTTCTTGCTACTATGCTCTTTCGTTGCAAATGGGTGTCTGAAAATTTGAGAAAATGCTACACAGTATAAAGTCTGAAATTTTCTTTGTTTACATTTCAAACAGGTGTTGTCTTTCGAGCACAGCATTTGTTTCCACCGCCAATATCTTTCGTTTCAGTTTATCTAGACACTTGGTATTGGTGACAAAGACCAGTTGTAATTAGATTCTAAAATGTATGAGGAATTCAGTAGGGCTGGGACGAATAGGAAAAAATGGAATCGAGTACCCGCATGTACTTACCCGAATCGGAATCGAGTACCCGGAAATGTAAGAAATACATTCGTGTCAACCTCTGAATATTCAATCACGATTTGACAGAGACTATTATAGAAAACTTGAAAAAGTGGTAATAAGACATTAAAACTGACCTCAAGCTATTGAATTTACGTCTGTTTAACCAATATAGAGAGTAACACCATTACTTACATTCCTCGTTATAACAACGAACGTTTCGTTCCTGCTGCTACTGTAACTTAACTACTCACTGCACATGCACAGATAAATTACAGTCATTAAAACTATGCTACATTAATCGGACAATACCAATGATGTAAAAACCCGTGAATTTCCGGGTTAGAATATTGATCTTGAGTAACCCATGCTTGTCGTAAGAGGCGACTTACGGGATCGGGTGGTCAAACTCGCTGACTTGGTTGACACATGTCATCGTATCCCAATAGCACACATCGATGCTCATGTTGTTGATCACTGGATTGTCTCGTCCAGACTCGATTATTTACAGACCGCCGCCATATAGCTGGAATATTTCTGAGTGTGGCGTAAAACTAAACTCACTCACTCACTCACTCATTGATGTAAATGTGTGTTACGTCAAAAACGAAAAAGACAAGCTATTGTCTGCCCTTGTCATTACAGAGCTCTCTCCCGTTCCGGGTACCCGATTCCTAGAAATAGGACTCGATTCCAGCTGTACCCGACCCGGATTCGAGTACCGTAGTACCCGTCCCAGCCTTAGAATTCAGTGATGCATTTGTCGCCGCTGAATATGAAATATATGTGATGTAATTGGCAACTCAATACCGGCCTTCGCGAAACGTTGTGAGTTGTGAGTGATATGCAGGCCTACTTCGGCCTTTGATTAAATGTTATATTTGAATATCGAAACCTTTTTGTCACAGCGAACACAACACTATCTCTTGTCATTTTACACGATAATGTTTGGAATTTTAAACTTATTTTATAACAATATCTGAATTCTAATGTTATACACTGATGTATTTTATATAAGGAATACAATGGTACTATAGTATTTCTCTGCCGAATCGTTGCAGCGTTCTATAATACACTTATGAAATATGATACATGTTTTCCGACCTTGAAGTCATTAAAAAGAATTATGCATTTTCTGCAGTCAATTGTGAATTGAAATAAATGAAGGTTCATCTGATTAATGAGTATCGAGGAAATTATGTTCATCTATACATTAGACGCAGCTTCATGTTTTTCAAGACATCTTTCCGGAATATGCGTCTGCGAAGGCGTTCAGATAATGACGATATTGCACAGTTTTATTCATGAGATTCCTGTCAACAGTAAGGTCGAATAATAAATCGATTTTATTCAGCAGTGTTGGCTCTGGGGCCTATAGTACAATTACAGTTTGATTACTTGCACGTGGTGCTAGTAACATATTAAGTTTCTATTGGCATTGAATGCATACTTCAGATAAAAAGCTAATGGTATTATTGTCACAACATCTATATTGTTTGATGATAAAAGATTTGGCAATGTGTGTTCATACATTACAATTTTTGACAGACTTGGCAAATAATTAATAAATGATATTGATAGCATCTTAATGACTTTGCCATACAGTCATGACAATTTAAGGAGTGAAAAGTGAGCGATAGGTCTTGTGGGAATTCAAAGATTCATTAAGACTGTAGCCGTCTAAGCGTAACTCCTGTGTGTAATACTTGTAAATATTCTATCCACTGAAAACATGCTTCTACTATTAATATTACATGTATTTTCATGGATTCATCATATTTTATCTATAGCTGTGCTATAGTTTCTCATTAAAATGTCTTTTCTGTTGTCGGAATTGAAGTAAGTCCCACACAGAGCTGGGATCATATGTCTTTGAAATATATATGCAAACGTCTGGAACCTTGTGTTCCAATACAAGCGTTTGTAGAGCTACGACATTCGCATGCCTATGACAAACTATAGAGTCAACCATTGACTGGATTACATTCTCATCGTCAGCAGAGAAATTTCGACTTCTCTTTTTCCTTGGGGTGCAGGCGACATTTCGCGATTCCATTTTTGGTAATCCGGAAGTAAACAGAAAACGGAATTGTGGGATATATGAAAGCTAACCAGTGACGTTAACCACACTATTAAACTTTGACGGCGTCGTTAGCTAACGGCATGACTAACCATGTTTTGAACAACGCATATTTAACGTTCGGTTACCTAACGGCCGGTTAAGGATTTAACCGGCCGTTAGGAGTTAACCGGCGGTTATAAGATAACCGAGTATTGAACAACCGGGCCCAGATGGTTTACTTATCATTGGTACGCTATTCCAGACACCGACAAGACGTAAAACATGCATAATATCACCCCCAGAGAAAATCAATTAAAACATCAATATAAACAAAGGAATCAAAAGTAACAAACGTATGGATAGTCCTAAAGTTTGTGAGTAAACCTCGAATCATAAGTCAGTGAGTTTGGTTTAACTCTGCTTTGGATAGTAAATGAGCTGCGATCCCTGTGAGTAAAAATGTATATACAAATACATATACATGAAATCTACTTTTTGTTTTGTTTTCTTTCATAGTGACATGTGATGATATATGCCCTGGTCGGATGTCTCGAAGTACGGATAAGTCGATATTTTTTCTTGGTACCATGAACGGTGCTCGACACGGCATGTCAGCTTCATATGAGAGGAAAGCCTTGAGTGAAGCAGCTCTCAAACGTGTGTAAACCTATGTGGTAAAGCACGTTGGTGAGTGAGTGAGTTTAGTTTTACGCCGCACTCAGCAAAACTCCAGCTATATGGCGGCGGTCTGTAAATAATCCACTGATCAACAGCATGAGCATCGATCTGCGTAATTGGGAACCGATGGCATATGTCAACCAGCGAGATTGACCACCCGATCCCGTTAGTCGCCTCTTACGACAAGCATGGGTTACTGAAGGCCAATATTCTAACCCGGACCTTCACAGGTCCAAAAAGCACGTTGGTAAACACAGATACATAATCAGTGGGAATGGGAGATTCGAACCCCAAATCATAGTTTTCTGGCGTGCCCAAAGCACGAGGTGAAACGTGATTCAACCCAAAATATTTCTGGCGTGTGTACGTTGTACACCATGCTCTATTCTGTATGAGACATAAACTGCAGAAAACTTAAATACCAATAATTGTCAGTAGTTAACAATTATACAATAAAGAAATGGTTATTCGATGGTGATGTATTTGCTTCGGATGCATGGGTGTTTTGAACCATAGTTTGCAGTTTCTGGGTGACTGTTTTCAGCTAAGTAACATTTTGTTAAATATTTTGTCAAATCCAATTTTCAAGTGTACTTTCTTTTGCCCAGCAATGTATTTACAGCCAACCATCGCTTGGTTGGTTAGTTGGTTGGTTGTTTTACGCCGCAAGTCAATATCCCAGCTATATGTCGGCGGTGATGTATTTGCTTCGGATGCATGGTGGTTAGTTGTTTTACGCCGCAAGTCAATATCCCAGCTATATGGCGGCGGTCTGTAAATAATGGACTGGACCAGATAATCCAGTGACCAACAGCATGAGCATCGATCTACGCAACTTGGATACGATGACATCTGTCAACCAAGTCAGCCATGACCACATAATCCTATCACTCGCACTTGCAAGCGGGGTTTGCTGAAGACCAGCGCTAACCCGAATCTTCACGGATCGCCAACCATCGCACAACACTGCATGAAACTGCTGTAAGTGATAAAAGTTGCACATACTATGCCTGCATTTGAGGGATAATCAAACCGACCACAATATATTCCTTCCAGTGACTAAAAACAAACGATATCAAAATGTGTAATTGTTTATTTTTCAGCAATGGATGCAGGGATATCAACGCCTCCCTGTCACGTACTGACACGTGCTGTAGGTCATCGTGACCATCTTGCACATGAGGCCCCTACAGCAAGCAGTCTGTGGATAGCCCCCAAGGATATTGTTGCACTGCGAACCGGCCTGGATACACTGTGAACATAACGTGCAACGAGCGTTTGTCAGTATGGAAGGGTGTTAGCGCCACAATTTAAACCATCTATTACCACGGTACTCACGATTATATTATCATGCAGTAAATTATGTTTATAACAAAATGAAGGGGTATAGCGAACAATTTTGGGGTCCTGGCCAGTTGTTGCTTGTGCAACGAGCGTTTGTCATTATGGAAACGTGTTAGCGCCACAATTTAACTTAAAACCATTTATTATCACGGTACTCACGATTATATTATCATACCGTAAATTATAGATACGATGACATGTGTCAACCAAGTCAGCGAGCCAGACCACCGGATCCCGTTAGTCGCCTCTTACGACAATCATGGTTTACTGATGATCACTTCGATTACTCGAGAAAATATGGTTAAATAAAAGTGGATAAGTTTAAAGTAGATATTACCTTCTCCCAAGTAGATTATAAAATCATATACGTAAACGAAAGTATCTTCTACGTGGAAGGTAATTGTCTTTTTCACTGTGGCACAAATACGCTTCCATATGAAATAACAGAATAGTTCCACTCCAATGTTTGAATATGCTGGTGTCGGGAGCCGAGCTCAATGTTGTGAATACAACTAGTTCTATAACTGCGATACAAAAATACCAAAGTGTTTTTCCGGTTGTATATATACATACCCTGCCAAACTGAGCGTTTGCGCCAGCCACAAGGAGAACCAGCATCATCGCAACGTAAAGTTTCCCAGTCATCGTAGGATACAGATCTGGCAATGAGCATACGGTAATTGGTTACGAGTATGAAGAAAAGCAAAGATTTATCAAAAATGTCACTTAATAGATTTGGTTTTCACATAAATCCTTTTTTCCTTTTTCAAAACTGATGATGCAGAAAAGGACGATTTTCTTTTGACTTTTTGTGGGTCACGTCCATAAATGTAGCAAAACATTCGCAGGTACCACCTGGCCATTTCGCCTTTATTCATTTGCTAACTTCATCTAGCAGAGCGCCCGAATTCCAAAAATATACTTTAGTTGAAAAAGGCGTATTTTAACTTTTAAAAACGTTTTTAGAATCATATTTTACAAGCCTAGCAATGTATATGATATAAAAGTTGGGGGCAGAGGAGGATGTATAGATGCCAACTTCTTTAATATGTGGAACACGACGTATCTGAGTATATTCTTGCTCCTTCATCAGGTTAGTTGGTTGGTGTTTAACGCCGCACTCAGCAATATTCCAGCTATATTGGGGCGGCGGTCTGTACATAATCGTGTCAGACCAGACAATCCAGTGATCAACAACATGAGCATCAATCTACGCAATTGGGATACGATGCCATGTGTCAATGACGTCGTCGAGTCTGACCACCCAATCCCGTTAGTCGCCTCTTACGACATGCATGGCTTGTTCAAGACCAATTCAGAGAATTTCTATAGTCTTTTAGCAGTGAAAACGTACCGATGAATTTCACTTTAAACAAAGAAGTAAATATAATAAAGTGAAATTGAGATTGCGAATATTTTTACCTTGCCAATTCAACATATAAATCTCAGAATTGTATTCAACCTCGGATAAAAGTTGTTTAACAAACCTTCACAGATTCAAATCGGTATTATTGGTTTGTATTACAAGGGGGTAAGCTCAGTAGTTGGAACAGTGAAACAAATGCACGTGTGGTACGTGATGAGCGTTACCTTAGACCAACCCTACTTGTTCTCGGTGTTTCATTTAATGTGCATACCCCCTGGTAATAAAAACCAATAATAGCGATTTGAATCTATGATCGTTAGTTAAAAAACTTTTATTCTAAGTTGACTAAAATTCTGAGATTCAAATGTTCAATTGGCAAGATAAAATTATGAGAATTCGCAATCTTAATTTCACTTTATTCGATTTACGTTTTTGTTTAAAGTGAAATTCATCGGCACGTTTTCACTACAAACACACTATAGCCGGGATCTTCAGTGCAGTAGTCCTAATGAAGGAATAAGAGGTGAGGTGAGGTGAAATTGGGTTTAACGTCGTGCTTGAGAATATTTCGCTCATATGACGACGTGCATGCGTGTGTATGAGTATGTGCGGCTGCTTGTACTAGCCCAGACTTAAGCTGGTTTTATAGTGCTAGCCCACTGAGATACCACGCCGCAGTGAAGCATGAATACCCCACTCAGACACATTATACTGACTCCGAGCCGACCAGTCCTTGTTGTACCCATTAATGGAACCAGGCAGGAAGCAACAAGTACCATATTTTAACGTCTTTTTTGGTATGACGCGTTCGGGGATCGAACCCGCGACCTTCCGCTCTCCGGGCGGACGCTCTAACCACTACACGACGGAGGTTGTGAAGGAATAAGAATATTCTAGGATACGTCATGTTTTGACTGGATATTAAAGAGTTTTAAGTAGAACAAACTGAAACATTCACTTACAGATCAACAGTGTCGATATGGTGTTTCCTCTGGATGGCTGTTGTGAGATGGTGAATGGGCTTGGTCTCCTGCTTTTATACATTTTACATACCTACTTTTATAACACAATGTACATGTCAACTGATGGTCATCGTAGTCAGTATTACTGTATCTGGGACATGTGACAATCACTGTCAACAGATCATACTGATGCCACACATGCAAATTGGTTCGATTGTCAGCAAAATCTCTATCACGTCACACGGAACTGACACTTGCGATAACGGGATGTTACATTAGAAGTTCGAGCAATAATATTCAGAACGTTTTTTACACAACAAAACTGTAACTTTTTGTACATAATATAATTCTTTTTAAAAGTCAAATGTAATTTCATTAACATGTAATTTGATGTACATATATATATGAAAGTGGTATTTAGGTTTGGAACACTGTTAAAACTACACACATTTGAACATAATTTGAGCAGTGAGTGTTCAAGATCTTAACACTTTTGGATACTGTTAGTTCTGCAAAGTATTTGCATACATGTATGCCTCGATCAATACTATAACACCTAGGACATCTGCATGTGATACAGAGTATAACGTTTTAATATAATTTATTTTTTAAAACATTTTTAGAATTTTGAATATTGGCGTCTTTCACTGATTCTTTAAGGTACTTTTAAGACTATGAGGTTAATTTATTGTCTTTATTTCGGCCATCGACACAATGGTAGGCAAATAAGGGCCACAGAAATTTGGGAGAAAACAATAATCACTTGACCTCCTCGGGTCATTGCTATGTAATAGCCAATCAGAATTCTCAGGAAGTTTGCGCGACAATGCAGATTAACTTCAGTTATATTTTCGAAATTGTTAAAATGCGTGTGTTTTTTAACACAGATAATAATCTACATTGAGCCATAACAAAAACGCTTATTAAGTGCCATCATCATGATAAACTTCTCATTTAGAACCGTATTATCAAAGGTTCAAAATGCACTACATTTGTGACGTCATAGAGGTGTGACGTCACAGAAAGTTACTATCCCGAGACATCGGGCCGCAAGCGGACGTGTCCACTATCTCGCAGACGTTTCCTTTATCGAAATGTCGACAATACTCAAGTTGAAGAGTATTTCGAATCCTTCAATCGTCGTTAATTATCGTAAGTATCTATTGCATGTTTTTTCGCAATTTACAGAATAAAATCGCCAAATATAAAAAATAATTGACTCATGTCATCGGATAGACTATTCTTTGCAAGAACAGTATCCACAAAGCGTTCGTAACACTACGACAGTGCTCAAGTATAGAGTTACGATGGGTCGTAACGCTACGAACGCTTTGTCGATCAGGATCCATAATGATGTTATGTATTAATGACATATTCTTTTGTTAATGATCAATTATTTTTGTACTGAATTGAGTTGAGTTCCTATTAAATCATAATTTGAATACCCGAGAAGATTCGGGCTAGAACTTGTCGTCAGCAACCCATGCTTGTCGTTAGAGGCGACTAACGGGATCGGGTGGTCTGGCTCGCTGACAAGGTTGGCACATGTAATCGTATCCCAATTGCGTAGATCGATGCTCGCTGGATTGTCTGGTCCAGACTTGATTACTTACAGATCGCAGCCAAATAGCTTGAATTGTGCTGAGTGCGGCGTAAAACTAAACTCACTCATTCATTCACTCACTAAATGTGTAAATAATTTCAGATGTGTACTGAAGATCGATTCTAATCCGGATCTTCAATGTCTTTTACACATTTAGACATGTTACACATATACATACCTTACATATTACACACACACAGCAAAGTGGAGACAAATAGAATATTTATTTCTAGGTTAGCAGATTAAGATTCTGAACAGAAATTTTATAAAGTCACTTTCAGAGCATGTCATATATAGTGGTGAATCTAAACAAATTGTAATGATATATGTTTTAGGGCAACTGTATTGTTTTTTGGGAGGAAGCTGTATATGTTGCTTCCGATAGATTTCATGAATGATATATGTTTCGATATGTATTGTATTATGCTAACTATATATAATGGTACATTGCTGTGTTATGTTATTGAGTTCAAGTTTGGTGCAGCCATTACCATGACAGGTAATGCATCATTCATAGTAACAGAGATAATTCCTCTGTTCAGGGTACTCATTAAAGGGGAGCTAGGCTGGGGGAAAATGGCAGTACCAAGTTGATTGGGGTAACTGAAACACCACAATGTCTGCTTACTCATATGTTATTATATGTTGTGTATTTCAATCTAAAAGTAAAATGAGAACTATATATTTACATGGGGACAATGGCACAATCTCACACAGGCACAAATTATTATTACAGGTTTTGGCTAACAGTGAATAACAAGGTGCCTAACTGCTGCATTAATACATAAGGGTATTATGGGGTATCAGACCTTTTAGACCAATTACTGTCAGGTTGATAAACTACACCGCATTAAGTTACAGTTTATCTCTGACAGTGGGACAATATGTCTGTTATAGTAGGGCTAATAAGAACTGCATGATTAATATAAAACCTAAAACTGTAGTTTAATGTGTCACTGAGAAATGACACATGGTGTAGTAACTGAAATCACTTACTGTTTGGCTTAAATGTAACACTGGTATAATGATTATTATCCTGAACAACAGGATTGATGTATAAAATATGACTTATTACACAGAGATATGCCTCTCTGTATTTATTGTGATATCTTCAGAAACTTATCCTATGTCAAGTCAGTGTCTCTTATGACTGATGATAAACTGCTTGTTAAATATAGTATGCATCATAATCCCATAGTCAATATGCTATGTCAAGTCAGTGTCTCTTATGACTGATGATAAACTGCTTGTTAAATATAGTATGCATCATAATCCCATAGTCAATATGCTATGTCAAGTCAGTGTCTCTTATGACTGATGATAAACTGCTTGTTAAATATAGTATGCATCATAATCCCATAGTCAATATGCTATGTCAAGTCAGTGTCTCTTATGACTGATGATAAACTGCTTGTTAAATATAGTATGCATCATAGTCCTATAGTCTATATGTTGTGTCAAGTCAGTGTCTCTTATGACTGATGATAAACTGCTTGTTAAATATAGTATGCATCATAATCCCATAGTCAATATGCTATGTCAAGTCAGTGTCTCTTATGACTGATGATAAACTGCTTGTTAAATATAGTATGCATCATAGTCCTATAGTCTATATGTTGTGTCAAGTCAGTGTCTCTTATGACTGATGATAAACTGCTTGTTAAATATAGTATGCATCATAGTCCTATAGTCTATATGTTGTGTCAAGTCAGTGTCTCTTATGACTGATGATTAACTGCTAGTTAAATATAGTATGTATCCTAACCCTATGATCTATATGCTATGTCAAGTCAGTGTCTCTTATAACTGATGATTAACTGCTAGTTAAACATAGTATGCATCATAATCCCATAGTCTATATGTTGTGTCAAGTCAGTGTCTCTTATAACTGATGATTAACTGCTAGTTAAATATAGTATGTATCCTAACCCTATGATCTATATGCTATGTCAAGTCAGTGTCTCTTATAACTGATGATTAACTGCTAGTTAAACATAGTATGCATCATAATCCCATAGTCAATATGCTATGTCAAGTCAGTGTCTCTTATGACTGATGATTAACTGCTTGTTAAATATAGTATGCATCATAATCCTATAGTCTATATGCTGTGTCAAGTCAGTACCTCTTATGACTGATGATTAACTGCTAGTTAAATATAGTATGTATCCTAACCCTATGATCTATATGCTATGTCAAGTCAGTGTCTCTTATAACTGATGATTAACTGCTAGTTAAACATAGTATGCATCATAATCCCATAGTCTATATGTTGTGTCAAGTCAGTGTCTCTTATAACTGATGATTAACTGCTAGTTAAATATAGTATGTATCCTAACCCTATGATCTATATGCTATGTCAAGTCAGTGTCTCTTATAACTGATGATTAACTGCTAGTTAAACATAGTATGCATCATAATCCCATAGTCAATATGCTATGTCAAGTCAGTGTCTCTTATAACTGATGATTAACTGCTAGTTAAACATAGTATGCATCATAATCCCATAGTCTATATGTTGTGTCAAGTCAGTGTCTCTTATAACTGATGATTAACTGCTAGTTAAATATAGTATGTATCCTAACCCTATGATCTATATGCTATGTCAAGTCAGTGTCTCTTATAACTGATGATTAACTGCTAGTTAAACATAGTATGCATCATAATCCCATAGTCTATATGTTGTGTCAAGTCAGTGTCTCTTATAACTGATGATTAACTGCTAGTTAAATATAGTATGTATCCTAACCCTATGATCTATATGCTATGTCAAGTCAGTGTCTCTTATAACTGATGATTAACTGCTAGTTAAACATAGTATGCATCATAATCCCATAGTCTATATGTTGTGTCAAGTCAGTGTCTCTTATAACTGATGATTAACTGCTAGTTAAATATAGTATGTATCCTAACCCTATGATCTATATGCTGTGTCAAGTCAGTGTCTCTTATAACTGATCATTAACTGCTAGTTAAATATAGTATGCATCATAATCCCATAGTCAATATGCTGTGTCAAGTCAGTGTCTCTTATAGCTGATGATTAACTGCTAGTTAAATATAGTATGTATCCTAACCCTATGATCTATATGCTATGTCAAGTCAGTGTCTCTTATAACTGATGATTAACTGCTAGTTAAATATAGTATGCATCATAATCCCATAGTCAATATGCTATGTCAAGTCAGTGTCTCTTATAACTGATGATTAACTGCTAGTTAAATATACCATTCATCATAATCCTATAGTCTATATGCTATGTCAAGTCAGTGTCTCTTATAACTGATGATTAACTGCTAGTTAAATATACCATTCATCATAATCCTATAGTCTATATGCTATGTCAAGTCAGTGTCTCTAATAACTGATGATTAACTGCTAGTTATATATACCATTCATCATAATCCTATAGTCTATACGCTATGTCAAGTCAGGATCTCTTATAATTGATGATTAACTGCTAGTTAAATATACCATTCATCATAATCCTA